ATCCCACCATGACTGAGGTTAAGCTCAGCCGAGCCCTTCTCCTCCGGCAGGCTCTCGCCGGCCGTTGGTTCATGGTCTTCGCTTGCCTCCTCATCATGTCCATGTCCGGCGCCACCTACATCTTCGGCATATACTCCACCGACATCAAAAAATCCCTCGGCTACGACCAAACCACCCTCAACCTCATCGGCTTCTTCAAAGACCTCGGCGGAAACATCGCCATCGCCTCCGGCGTCATCAACGAGTTCACCCCTCCTTGGGTCGTCCTCGCCATCGGCATGGCCATGAACTTCTCGGGCTACTTCCTCATCTGGCTCGCCGTCGCCGGCAAAATCCACCGCCCGCCCGTCTGGCAAATCTGCGCCTACATCTGCCTCGGCGCCAACTCCCAGACCTTCTCCAACACCGGCGCCCTCGTCACTTGCGTCAAAAACTTCCCCCAAAGCCGCGGCGTAGTCATCGGCCTCCTCAAGGGCTTCACCGGCCTTAGCGGCGCCATCATGACGCAAATCTTCCACGCGCTCTACGGCCACGACTCGAAAGCACTCATCCTCCTCATCGCATGGCTTCCCGCCACCGTCTCCCTCGTTTTTCTCCGAACCGTCCGACTCATGAACTCCGGCGGAAGCCGGCCGGAAAACGACCTCCGCGTATTCTACCACTTACTCTACATCTCCCTCGGCCTCGCCGGTTTCCTCATGGCTCTGATCATCCTTCAAAACAGCGTCGTTTTCACCCGAGCAGAATACGCCGTCAGTGCGACCATCGTCGTTGTTCTCCTCTTCGCTCCGCTCGCGATCGTCTTGAGGGAACAGTTCAAGTCCTCCGAGACGACGCAGACGGAGACGACGACTACTACTCATAATCGAACTCAGATAATTAATGTCGTGACCCACGACGATAGCCAATATGCAAACACCAAACCAAGTCAAATAAAAACCAGCCTCCCTCCGTGGTGGAAGGACGTGTTCCGGCCGCCGGAGCGCGGCGAGGACTACAACATCCTGCAGGCGGTCTTCAGCATCGACATGATAATCCTGTTCACGGCGATCACGTTCGGGATCGGCGGCACACTGACGGCGATCGACAACTTAGGGCAGATAGGGAAGGCGTTGGGGTACCCGAGCAAGAGCGTGACGACGTTCGTCTCGCTCGTGAGCATATGGAACTATCTCGGACGGGTGGCGTCGGGATTCGCGTCGGAGGTTTTCCTGGCCAAGTACAAGATCCCGAGGCCCGTGATGCTGACGGTGGTACTTCTGGTGTCGTGCGCGGGACACCTGCTGATAGCGTTCGGTGTCCCGAACACGCTGTACCTCGCGTCGGTGGTGACGGGGTTCTGCTTCGGGGCGCAGTGGCCGCTTGTGTTCGCGATCATATCGGAGATTTTCGGGTTGAGGTACTACTCGACGCTGTACACGTTGGGTGGTGGGGCGAGCCCATTGGGAGCGTATATATTGAACGTGAGGGTGACGGGGAAGTTGTACGATCGGGAGGCGACGAGACAGCTGGCGGAGAGAGGAGTCGTGAGGAGGGTCGGGGAGGAGCTGACGTGTGTAGGGGTCGAGTGCTATAAAAAGGCGTTTTTGATAATCACGGGGGCCACGATGGTCGGGTGTTTGGTCTCGTTCATGCTCGTTTTCCGGACGAGGAAGTTCTACGGAGGGGATATTTATAAGAGGTTTAGAGAGGATAATGAGCAGCAACAGCAACAGCAACAGCAGCAACAGATGCAGATTGGAGATAGCAAGTGAATGATTGATTAATTAACACAAAAGTGATTGATTAAGGCCCATATTATATGTTTTGAATTGTGAAAATTATATAGGTGTATCTGGGGAAGTGAATTTGAATAAATTGAGTAATCTGTGTTGTTTAACGAGTGGCAAGGAATATGTTGAAACTCCAAACTTAGAACGAATAAGTACTAGAGTGTAGATTAATTTGCCTTTGCTAAACAAAATTGGTGATTAGTTGACTAGCATGCATAATGGGTAAAGTATAAACTCTATACACATGATTTGTATTCAAAAGTTTGGCCGTAAAAGCACCGGATGACAAAAGTAGATAGTTTATATTGGTTTGTTTTTTCTACAACGGATGAATTCACATGCTGCTTTGTTGAGGTTCGGACTTGCATAAATCTGATCATGAAAAATGGAAAATTAAACAGAAATTAAGACAAAGGAAGTATTAGTTCTCCATAATCCAAGTTATAATGCGGAACAAAAACAAAATTTGCTTGAACCCCTCATATTTTTATTTTGATCCTCAAATAATTTATAAATATGAACCAATTAATTGAAGGAGGAAACTAGAGTTGATATATGATTTAGTGGCATCTTCATTCTTTTGTCCTTACCAAAATTTCATTTTTATTACTCTAAATTTGGCCTAATACAATAATTTGGCGCACATATATGAAATTCAATAATCTAACTTACCAAAAATATATGTAAAAAAAAAAAATAAAAAAAAATAGCTCACTCACTAGTAGGGGCAGAGTAAAAGGTACACTACTATTACTAGTCACGAATTGGACACGAGCCAAAAATTGAGTTTGTGGATGACTTTCAATGGAAATTGAATAGAAAAATGAACTTAGTATGTTACTCATCTTTCAAAATTACTTTGCTATGTTAAACTCTTATCAAAGTTACTGTGTTAATTTACAAGTTTAATCAGTTTTAATCAACTAATCACCGACAAACTAAAGTTTAGGCATTCGATAGTCATGACATGATATATTATATAACAAATTACTTACTCAGACACGCATAGAGTATTTAATTAGTCAACAGCATCAATGACACCAACCAATATTTATTTCTTTTTCACTCAATTCTTTTCTTCCCTTTCCCTCCTTTTATCTTGCTATTTCCCTTTCAACAGTCAACAGAAGAAAAAAGGTCACAAAACAACAAGACTTTTCAATGCTTTGACCAGCTCCTAGGTGTCTGTTAGTCTTGATCATTTGTTCACAAAGAAGACAACCAAAATTTTATATCACTAAGGAGATGATTGGTCTAAAAAATGTAGGTTGATTGCTGACTTTTAGCTAACTCACTTAGTTAATTTGCGCAATATTTTCTTAGGAATTTGCTGTATTATTGGATGAGATAATTATTTTTGTGGGACCATACCAAATGTGTGAGCTGATTTACCGTGTCTGGAAATCTGGACTAGGAAATGTGTGTTTCGTATCCCAAGATTTGGATCTTTTGATTGAATTCAAAGTTAGACTAAATTTTAACATAACGATCATAATTTTTTTTTTTTTTTTTNGTTAGGTTAAAGTTTAAAAAATGTGTCAAATATATAACCAACACTTAATTGAAAAGGATTGTAATATATATTATTTGAAGTTAAAAAAAAGTATTAATTTTTAATACATCATTATTATTTTATTTTTTTTATAATTTATACTATTATAAATAGTATTAATTTTTAATACATCAATATTATTTTTTTTTATATAACTTATAATATTATAAATATTTATTTTTTTAATCTATTAATTTATATGAGATTTGTTATGATATGTGAATCACTATATGGATTTTTACAAAATTAGTTTGGTGCGGTTATTGATAAAATCAAACGATATTTTGAACTCCTCGAATAGATGATTTTTGGTATATGGCTCGTTACGTAACAAATAGAAAATTATTGGGATTTGTTATTAATGTTGAAATATCAATTCTAGTATAGTATTGTAGTAGTTATATCAACTATAGTATTCGACCCTGTGCATTTTCACAAATGTAAATAAAATATTATAAGTTATTTATATGCATATAATATTTAAATTATAAGTTAGATAATGGTATTATATTTTAAACATAGTGTATTATAAATTATATTTATTTATATAATATTGAAATTATAAGTGAGATAATGGTATTATACTTTAAATTTGATCATTGGTTAAAATAAATAGTACATAACAATTTGATTGCATATGAATCACTATATTGATTGCATAAAATATAACAAATAATGTAATTTTTTTATTCTGAGTGATCATTAACAATTAATTAGCTAAAAAATGTTACAGTTATTATAACAATTGCTTATGCGATTTTAAGGAATTTTACTTTGACATCAAAACAAATTAATTTATTTAAAAATAATTGCTTAATCAGATAAAAAAATATAATATTGATTTTAGAATAAATAACTTGAACAAAAAGTCTTTACAATATAATTTTTTATGCTTATGTAACTTTCATATATCATTTAGTGTAAAATATAATTATTAATTCTAAGAATACCTATTGTATAATACAATAAAAAATATAATTATTACCCAGTTAATATAAAATATAACAATTTTTATCTTAATTAACCTAAAAAAAGTGCAAGGAAAAAATATAACAGTTTTTATCTTAATTAACAGACTCGTATGTTTTAGGATTCTATGTGTCAAATTTTCATGTTTTATCATTTGACTTTGATGAATTTTATATATTGTTAAAAAGATAATTAGGTTTGCAATAGCCATAAATATACTAGATAAGGCATAAAATACTAGATATTTATGGTCCTTCTTAAAAAGATTAATTATGTTATATTTTCTATTTTAGACGTGATTGATAAGGCATAAACATTTTTCCTCAATACATTTTTCCTAATCTTTCTTTTAAAATTGTGAAAAAAATTACTAACTTAAATTATAAGTAGATTTAAAAATTAATATATTTTATATTTATTATCATTTCTTATACATAATATATCAAATTAATAATGTCTTGATGAGTTTCGATTCGACACATATATTATGAATACAAAATAAATAATTATTATATTAATCTTTATAATAAAAATTAGATTACATATTAATAATAATAAAAAAATAAAATTATTAAATCAATTGAACTACAAAGTTGGTTAATGATATAATTTAAAAAAATATTATAATATAAGATGGTAAATTGTATAAGTGATGAGTGTTGTTTTAAATATAAATAGCAATATAGTTGTTCAAAAAAATATTTGAAATTAACCCAAATTTTTTATTATTATTTTTTATTTTGAATATAATTTTTTAACAAACACCCATGTAATACACGAGAATTCTATTAGTACTATATAAACCGAGAAATAATTGTATAGTTTCACTTTTGTTGAGAAATGTAAAATTTTAGTTTGAAAAATTATTCTAGTATATACTTTTGATGGAGTTTTCACATAATATTTACTAGACGAAAATTTGATTTACAATTGAATTAGGATGACATTTGTGGAGATGCTATAATACTATTAATACACGCTTAAAAACATCCATTTTTAAAGTCTAATGAATGAAATTTCAAAAAAATAATATTTTTGACAGTATTGTAAGATGAAACAACATTTCTCGTTTAATGTTGAATTATTACGTACATGAGAAGGAAAACTATCTTCGTCATGTTCAATTAATTGAGTGAATATATAGATGGAATTTGGTGAAGTTGGTATCAGCTGATATATCACAACATATGAAGTACTGAAAAGACATGTAACAATTGTAAACAAAGGAGAAAATACGATAACATGAAAATTCCTCTTTTGAATTATAAAGAAGTCAACAATTATTAAATGCTATTGGGATAGAAAATGATTTTTCGAGGTAGGATAAGGAGATGAAATGTCATAAATAGCTCCATGCAAATCCAAAGCTCAACTTGTCATCACAATCCAAAATGACCAATATAAAATTTGTAAATATATATATATATATATTTTTTTTTCTCAATCTAATATTCAAGTTGATAAAATTCATATAATATTTATTATTGCATTAATCAGGGGCGGACTGAGATGCAGGTGAGCCAAGGCAATTGCCTAGGCTCAATTTTTTGTGTAATTAAAAATTTACATTTAATATGTGTAAAAGTAGAAATACAAGTTTTTAGTTTAAAATTTTAAATAATTCTTACAAAATAACATTATTGTTTATATTTAAATTGATACACCTCATCGGTCAGATTCCACGATATTATATTATAACATTTTTAGTACTTATGTCATATAATAAGCTTGATAGATAAATTTATTGTTTTTAAATTATAATTGACAAATATTTAAATTTTTATTGATAGAGATCATATAGATATAATAATTTTAATTTACATATAAAATATGAATGTCAAATTATATATTGTCAAAATATGACTAATTTAAGTATAAGAAATGATAATATATACAAATGTTATTGACTTTTAATATATATTTACGATTTAAGTTACCCAAACGTTTAAATTTGAAGTTCTAGATAACTATCTATATTTGTATGGACTAACCTACAGAATTACAAAGCGTTGGAAATTGATAATAAAAAACTCTACATTATCTATAAGAAGATAATCCATAAGAAAATCTTCATAAAATAACAAAAACAAAAATGATGACATTTAGGCTTTTCTTAAATTAACAAATTATATTTCAAAATGACTTGTTTATTTCTTGTTACAAAAAATGACGGTGAAAAAATTGTAAATTTTTTTGATATATTTTTTAATAATAATAAAAATGCAAAATAAAATAACCAGACTCCATTCGCAATTTCATTTTTTTAGCATCAAGTCCAAGGCAATTTAAATAGGGAGCCTCTCAACACTCGATTACTTCGACGATTTATTAATTGTTAATATAAGTACTTTGTGCAATATGGTTAAAAATTTCTTCGAACTATTTTTTGCTCAGGCTCATGAAAATTTTTGGATCCGCAGCTGGCATTAATCAAAATCAAAATAATAATAAAATTAAAAACGCGTAATTGAGAAGCATAACCAGAGCTTGCTAGTTTTATCACTTTTTATACACGCCTCGCCGTTAAGATTCCATCATCCAATGCAAAGTCACTGATGAACACTTCCACAGTTTCTTATATATAATAGGCCATCAAACTCGAGCATAATTTCCTAGTTCTAATTTTTAAGCACACCAACTAATAACATTGCACCACCAAAACGTATGGCCCAAATAACCGCATCATGATCTGACCCACAAAATTGTTCATGAGCTCGATTACCAGCCCACATGGAAACTTGAACCGTTATTTCAAGTTCTCTTCCTTGAATGACATTATACATTTTTTTATCGTTTATATTTAATTTATTTTTTGCATTTAGTTTTTTGTGATTTAGTAAAAAATTAAATATTAAGCTTAAGTTTAACCAGAAGTTCTAATTTTTGTTGATATAGTATAGAAATAATGTAATAAACTTAAGGTAAACTGAAAACGTTCTAAAAAGGTTTAAAAAATGAAGGTAGATAGTAAAATAAAAAAATGTATTTGTATTCATAATTGGAATTATTTTTTTTTTGAAAAGTTCTTTGAATGTAGTATAGATGTCACTTCTACCCTTTTGACATAGTCTATTTGGTAAATGTAGTTAAAAGCTAGATGAATGTTAAAAGTTGAAAAGTTACATAAATTGTTCT